AGTAAAATTTAAACTATTGAGTTGCTAATATACAATTAAGAAGTTAAAAAGAATTAACAATTAAAACTCGAAATGGATAGATTCTTGTGGAGGCGGGAGGGAAGCGCTACACCTTGGATATATAGGTAGAGAATAACCCCTGATAGGTGTTTCCACTCTACATGTACCATTAAGTAATGTCCTTTGGGTCAGATAGAAGCCCTCAGTTGTGAACATAGTCCAGAGGCTCCAGCACTGGAGAAGGCAAAATATCTGGGAAGCTCCTCTCTCACAGTTTTAGATAATCTCCCAAATAAGCATAGGTAGACAACGTTATTCCTTTGGGTTACAATTCTCAAGTGCCCCAGCCAGCATGCTGGCTGGAGTATTATGATAGTGGTACACCCATCTCCAAAAATAAGTGTTTGGGTGTGATGGAAAGAAATGTAACCTATCCCAGTGGATTGGCCATGAGATAATTGTCCAGATTTGGTACAAGAATATGCTTTGGAGCTGGGCAGAATCCAATTCAGAAGCCGCAGAAGAAAGGAAGAAAGGACATGCTGGAGTTGTGAATGATCTGAGATGTCTTGTGGGAATTACAGAGGGTTACTCACCCTCACTTTTCTGAAGGGTGAAAAAAATCTATGGGCAGCAAGCACTACAGTATTTGGGTTTGCCTTTCTTTTCAGCAGAGAGATCAACGGAGCCTTGTTTTTACAGTGTACACAAGGAGGGGCGAACCAGATCACAATAGACCCCACAGAAAAAGTAGACTCACACCACAAGTTAGAGCCTTTCAGAAAAAAAAACCTCAAATGGAAATACCCCAAAATACAGTCCTTGAACCTGCCCTATTGAGGAACTAACTGATTTCCTGCTTGCTCGGCCCATTCACTCCCCAGCAGTGCCGGCAGTTAATAAGGAGGGAACTCCTTATTGGAGTGGCGCTGCAATGCTAGTCTGCAAGCCAAAAGACCACTAAACTCACCACTGCCAGGAAGAAAGTGAGAACTTCAGCTGAGAAGGAGTCAAGACCACATTCAGATCTTGTTGGTGGAGGAAGCTGTTCATCTGGAGGTGTCTAAACTGTTGAGGTCAAGCCACTGTGTCTTTGGCTCTGCCTCCTGGACTGCACCATTCTGAAACAACTTGGCATGCCCTGGGCTCCTGCTCAAAGTCAGGATAAAACACTTACAGTGTTATGTAATGTAGATTTATTTGCAAGGAGAGCACAGGCAGAGGAAAGCAGCATGATGCTTCTAGCCAAGGACAGGGCCGTTGTCTTTTCCTATCAGGTTCCAAGAGGCACCTGCTCGCTTGCTTTTTGTTTAAAGTGGTGCCTCTGTGTTCAGAAACAGCAAAAACAAACAACCACAAAAACAACCTAATATGTAATTACTTCTCTAAAAGCTAGACCTTACCTGGGGCATTTGTTTGGGGAGGATAAAACTTCTCCCAAAGAGCTCTGGTATAACAGCAGGACTGAGAACCTTTAGGCCTCCAAACTTTTGGATTTTCACACATCCATCAGTCTTACTTAGCATAACCAATAGGAAGAGAGTATGGGAGTTTCTGACCAAAACATCGGAATATTTCACCCTTACAGGGCTTATCTTTGCATTCCTGAGCCATTAATTGTTACTGAAGAACTATCAACCATCATCTCCCTCCCCACCAACTGCATCACTGAACTATAACTTCCCTAACAAAAGGAAGTTTTCTCTAGCACTGCTTGACCAACATTCCCACCAGTATCAATTAGGATTATTGCTTTCATTCTGCCTCCCCACCCAGTGAAGTTTCAATGATTTCTAGAGCTTACCCTGAATTTTGAATTGCTTTGAATGTAGTCAATAAAGACTTCTGGCACTTTCTAACATAGGCATGTGTTTACAAATATAATAAGAGGCAGAATGTAGGTGGCACTACAAAGTATTAATACACAGCAAAAGATGCCAAAAAATCTTTAATTGTTGTGTTTAGTTCCATGACTTGTTACCCTAACCTTTCTTAGTTTACATCTGTCTTCAAAACTTCGGTGCTACCTCTGTCACATCATCATCATCATCATCATCAATATTACTGCTGCTGCTGCAATAATAATAATAATTTTTATTATTAAAAAATTCAAAACAGTTTTTGACTTGCATTATATAACAGATACCAAGTTTTCACAAAAAACCTAATATAAATAATAATATACATAAAATTAAGAAAATATAATAGAATTATTGTGTTGTAATTTCATTTTATATATTGCTCCATAATGCTAGAACACTGTCTGGGTAGTTCATAACATAATTATGCAAGGAATACTAAGTTAAGTAATCTTTTTTTTGTCCATTCACATAGGTAGCAATTGATAATCAGCCAGTTAACATTTAAAGGCATATCCAGACAAGACCTAGCCAAGCCAGTTTTTCCTTTGAATCATTCACTGAACTTTTACAATCAGAGTGACTAGATCAGAGCACACTATTGATGGAACACTGTCATGTTGCAAAAAAAGCAGGAAAGACCTGTGAGTTCAACATGAGTTGAAATATTGCAGCAATACAAACAAACAACATATATTAGTGTGGAATTATAGAATATAATTATATGCAATAAATATGAAATTATAGAATTGAATATGTAACTAACCTAATAAAAAAGATGTGGGTTAAAACTTTTCTTAATTTGGTACCTTGCTGTGGGTTTCGAAACAAAAAGATCCTTCAAAAAGTACACCAGGATACTTATACATACCGAAGCTTTCTATATACTGTACCTAATGATCCAAATATTCAGAAGACTGCATCTCCCTCTATGAGCCTGCCTGGGCATTAAGATCCTCAGGGGATGCCTCTCTCTCAGTCTCACCACCCTCACAGGGGGCACTTCGTGGAGACACGGGAGAGGGCCTTCTCTGTTGCTGCTCCCAGACTCTGGCCCCATCTTTGCTGTCCTTCCTCAACCAGGCGAAGACCTTTCTCTTCAGGCAGGCTTTTCCTTAATTACTGGTGGTCTGAGAGAGGTTTAAAATGGATTGTTTGGATCTGTTGCTTTTAATAGTGTTTTTAGTGTTGATTTTAATTACCCTTTTTAATATAATACTTGTTTAATTCTTTTTTAATATATGTACACTTACAGGTTTTAGCTTTTAAATACCATTGATATAAGCTGCCTTGGGCCCTTTTGGGGAGAAAGGTGGGATAGAAGTATTTTAAATAAATAAATAAACATTTGAAACATGGGTCAAGTTTGTGTCCTTGGCAAGTAATATTTATACTGGTCACAGAACTTAAATTCCTTTGAACCGCTCAGGGCTTTTGGCAAAGAGAAAAGGTTTAGAGAGAAATTACCATGGACATATGACAAAATGAGTTATCTAAACACATCTTATTTTGAGGAAAGTCTCCAGAGATTTGTGAGGTTATCCCTCTAATTCGCCTCCGTCAGAAAATAAAGCATGCAGTAAAATTTGAGGAAATTAGGGAGCAGTCTCATACATTGTCCTCTCATCTGTACAACTTAAAATCCAAGCATGTTGGCTATCAGATATAAAGGTGTTAGAAAATGTACAGATATTGAACATGGGATCTATTTCCATTTTCATTACGGACAATATGCTACCCTCTTTTGGGAGTAAATTGGCGAGCGGCAGAAAGTCTGGTTAGATTAACATAGAGAGATTTTTTATTAGACAGCCAGGATTAGGTATACAGATCTTTCCTGCTCGTTTGTAAGATGAGATCTGAACAGCAGATAATATGGATTGATTCATTTACAAACGCAGTAGATATTGGCTGCCTAGGTTTCATTTTCACTAATGATTTTTATCAGGGCCAAAAAGTGATTTCTGTAGGTGAGATCATGTTAGCTGCTTTTCAAAGTACAACAGGTACTGTGATCTGTTTTTGTCTCACAAAACTGAAATTTTAAATGAAATTTTTCATAAGACAATATTCCAGACATTTCTCAGCCCCTTAGATTTTCCAAACATGCAGGAATGACAGGGAATTCTAGTCTCTCCTTTCTCCATATAAGAGTGTTTCACAGTACTGTACAAACTTATGGACATTTGTGAAATATAGCTAAAATTAAAAACAAATTAAAGTAATTGGACTGTTTTTGACCAGAAGTGGGCTACTTCAAAACCATCCTGAGGGCACCCAAAATACTGTACCAGAATAGCATTTCTGGTTAAGCCCAGACCACGGAAAGGGTTCTGAGGATTAATTCCTTCCATGCAGCATCATCAAAAGTATTGAAAGGAGTGTATCCTACTCATCACAGCAATGTTGAGCATTCTCCACTTTCTTGACGAGGTACAGTAGGGTTTAAATATACTTTTTAGGTGAGACCCGTGGAAATTCCAGATACCTCTGTAAGATTATTGGCCAACGCGGGCCTAGTGGAACTAGGCAGATTCCAACCTGCTTCCAGTACTGTAGTTATCAAATTAAATAACCATTTCCTGACACTTCTCATCAAGGACACTGCCCCAGATGTCACTCCTCCTCTGCCTTACGACAGGGCCGGCCCTGCAAGCCAAGAACCCGTCGCCAGCGGCTCCTAGCGCCTGCTTCTCCTGTGAGGCTGCTCTGACCCCAGGCACCACAGGACGGGCACCGAGGATGCCCTTCTCCCTTCCTAAGGAGCAATTCTGCCTCTGAGGCCGGCAGCCGGAGCACGCAAGCCGCCTCAGCCCCGAGAAACATCGGCGGCGACCAAGCCCTGGCCGTCGCTCCCTCCCTCCTGCGCCGCGGCACTCCGTCCAACCCCCCCCCTCTGTTTTCGCGGAGGGAGCGGAAGCGAGCGAGCCCCTCTCCGCTTGCCGCCTGCCAGCTGGGCTGGCAGAGGGGAGTGTGTGTGGGGTGGGGAGGGAGGCAGGCAGGCAGGCAGAGGGGGGCAGGGCTGCCTGCTGCAATCACTCTGCTGCCACATGCCACGGGCCGGAGTGGAGGAGGGAGGGAGGGAGGGAGGGAGAGGCTCTGCTCCGGCGGAGGGATACGCGCGCCGTATAAAAACGGGGCCGCGCAGTCTCACACCTACAGCATTTGTTGGCAGCCGAGCGAAGAGCAGGACGCGAGAGCTGTGAGCAGCCGCTTGCCTTCCCTGCACCGCCGCCCAGTGCGCAGACCACCGTCCCCGCCGCCCGCACCGCCACCATGGTAGGTAGCTTGGATTTACAGCCAGACGGAGCGCAGCGAGGGGTTGTCGGCTTCCTTTAGAGCTGGCTTGGCGCGCCCAGGCTTTTCTCCCCCCTCCTTTTATTCCTCCCCACTTCCCTTTTTGCCAGGCAACGGGGGGGTTCGTTTAATTCGTGTGTGTTTTGTTCTGTTCTAAAATACGGACGAGACGCGTCTGGATTCGCCGGTGCGCCCTGGTTTGCCTCCAAGGCGCCGCCGCTGCCGCCACCCCTCTTTCTGGAAACCCGTTCTGGCGTTTGGCGGAAACCGAAGCGGAGGCCGGCTTCCTTTTTTCTCGTGCCCGTCCTTTGCTCACTGGGCGGCGGCGGGCGCAGCGACCGGGACCGGCGTCTCGTGCTCTGCCGGAGAGCTTGCGTGTCTTCTGCGTCTGTCTAGGTGGATCTTGGCACTGGGGGCCCGAGGAGCGACGGGACCCCCGGCTCCCCGAGTGTGTCGGCTGGTCTGGGCAGCCTCGGTTGGCCCCTTGCTAGACCAGCCCCAGGCGGCGGGGCTGAAGGGGCTGCATGCAGCTGGGTGGGCATCGGGGCTGCAGGTCGGGTTCCTGCCCCCCCCCCAAAGGGAGAGATTTTGGCTCCCCAAGAGCGCCAGCCTGTCCATCGCGGGCGCCCCTCGCCCTGCCCCGCGGCGCCTTGCCTTGCCGCCTTTCCCCTTCCTTCCTTCTCCTCCTCTTTCCGCCGAGCAGCCCGCGCCCCTTGGTCCGTTCGCGCTCAGGCACGCCTGGCCGGCTTCCTCGCGCCTGAAACTGGAGAGGGATGCTGCGGAGTCCCTAGATCCTGCCTGGGTGCAAAATGGGGATGGAGGAGAAACGTGGGAAACAGCCTGATCCCGGCCTTGGAGAAGTGTTGCGGGGGGGGGGGGAGGAGGAGAGGGAGGGCGTCATCGGACACCGGAGCTCCTCGCCTACCTCCTCTCTCTCTCCCCCCCCCATGTTGGCTCCCCCGCAGGTGATGGAGAAGGAGCTCGAAGGCGTAGGAGGCGCGCCGCCTTCTCCCGCCCGACTCCGCGGGAGACTTAAGGAAGGCGGCGTGGCCGAGGGGAGAGCGTTTGCATGGGGGCTGCCGTTGCTCTCCTTTGGCTTGAGGGTGGCTGTGCCCTCCTTGGCCGCCACCGCTTTCCGATCTCCAGCTCTTTAGGTGTGTGTGTGGGGGGGGTTGTTGTTTCAGGATTCTTTTCCTAGAGGGTTCCAAGCACTCTAGGAAACCCACTTTAGAGTTGGGTGAGGGTCGTGAAACGGTAGATCTGGGCCGTGGGGACGGTATCAAACCCTGCCGGGGCAGAAGAGGAGTTGGATGTTCCTTCTGGAGCCTGTCCTGTAGCGCGGATGGGGAGGGGGGGAAATCAAGGCTGTTGGGTAGAGGGAAGGTTACAACTGACCTTCTAAGACATAAGATTTGCTTCCTCCAGATCAGTGAATCTTAAGAACAAAACAAAACAGTAACATTGCTGTGCAGTCACCGTGATCAAAGGGTATGCTTTGCTTGTGTCTCAGTCTACAGGAAATACGGATTTCCTCTGCGTTATAGAATCAGGAAGTGGGGATGGTGTTCTGGCTTGGGGTGATCAGAGTTGTAGCCCTACAAATCTGAAGGGCACTAGACCAGGAAAGGGTGTGGATCTTCACTGTATGTATGGCATAACTCTGTGGAAGGGACAAGCGGGAGAAGTCAAACCTCCATATGGTGGTGATGATGATGTTGATGCCGTTCTACGTGGGTGATGATGCCTCTTGGTTTCGATGGCAGGAGGAACTATGGTGAAAACAGCAAAACACCAGGTTGGCTAGAAGGAAATGACAGGGGAGCATTTGGGAGGGTATCAAAAGCATGATGGATGCCATGCCAGTTCTTACACCAGCTGCACTGCGCAGGGTTAGAGGGGAGGGGAGACTCCTCTGCAGCTATTGAGCTGCTTCTCCTCCCCCTTACACCTGCATCCCCCAAGCCCCTCAAACGCAGCGAGACTACAAAACCTTCCTTGGCTGTATTACCTCATGCCTCCTTATTCTCTAGCCTCCACCCTAACCCCCAAGAGGCAGTGAAGGTAAAAACCTGCAGTATTTCTAGTAAGAACAGAAATCAGTTTCTTACATGTCAGAAGCCGAAGGTTTCTTTAAAAAGTAACTGGCAGGGAAGGAGGAAATAAGAGAGAGGGGTGTGTAGGTTGGGTGTGGGTGGGAGGAGATGTAAGATTTGGTTGCAGGAAGGGTGCTAGGACCAGCCAGCCACTGATACGCTGATCTCCGATGAGAGAACAGGCCACTTTTGGGCTACTGTTAATGTCAAAAGACAAGATTACTGCATGTGCAGCATCCTGTTAAGGGGTATTTTTACATTTAGGTATTGCGGATCAATGCCACTTTAATTCAATTTTTAAAAAAATTTTTGACTTGATTTAATCTTGATCTCTTGGTAGCACTTGGGAGGCTGGGTTCTTCAGCTCCAAATGCTGATTAGAATTAAGTGTGGCTGGTCTTTTGTCTTTAGTCATTATTGTTTTCCATAATGGACACCAGGGACTTACTGCAACAGTGTGAAATCAGAAAAGGTTGGGAGGGGAAGAGGAAATGCTTCCATTTCCCATAAGTGAGAAAGGATAAGGCAGGATCTGTTGCAGATGGCCAGATATGATTATAGGCCACGTGGGCTGGTTCTCCAGTTTCCCCTTCATTCAGCTGGGAAAGATGACATCATTGATCTTACTTCCCCCACCCCTCTCTTAATGACTTGCATGGGTGGCGAACTATTACCTTTACCTGAAAGCCAGAGAGACACATGCGTACCTCTGCTACACAGATTGCCAAAACAGAAGCTATCTTAACAGGTATTCACCCAAACTGGACAAATAAAATATGTTACAATAAAGTCTGTAACTTTCATTCCTTGGCCAAGAAGTATTCCGTATCCTTTGGAGCTTGGATTGCCCATTTGAGCTCATGCTGAGGACTTTTCATGCTCCAGTTCATTTGCATTCTCTTTTCTATCCAGGTGTGGCTTCTGCATTGATCTGCTGTGTTATGTAAATCACTGTGTCAACTCACCTTGCTGAAATGAAATCCAGAGGCTGGGTTCTGGGAGGACTGCATTTGGGTCTTGATATCCCAGTGTAGCCCTTCATTGTATATGTTGCACAAAAGCACGTTTAAAGGGAAATCAGTGGTAGGATTTGACATCTGTGATGGGGAAGAAATATCAGAACGCATTTAGAGAGCCAGTATGATGCAAAGCGAACCTGCAGTTGCTTTCAGGCTTTTTCTCTTAAATAATGAGATTCCTGAATAGCATGGCAGCTTAAGCTGTGAGAACCAAGCATTGGATGAAATGAGAATGCATTATTTTGTTATATTCCAGTGACAGTTGTCCTAAACTGAAGTCTTATGGGAAATTAGTACACATATTTTCAATAGTAAATTTTGGACTAAGTAAGTACTACTGTTGTGTATGGGCCAATTTTGAGAGGATTTACTGATTTTTGCTTGCTGTGTCGCTTATGCTATATAGCTGATTTGTTTTCAGACTGTGGAAACGTTACTGTTCTGGAATACAGATGCCAGAATCCCATAGCCAACATGGCCACTGGCTATGCTTCCTACAGGATTCTGTTATCTAAAAGAGTAGACGTTTCTGAACTCCGCTTGTTGTAGAAATGGTTGCATAGTGCTAGGACTAGGAGCCTCTGGGTTATAATGAGACTGTGGTATAAAGTACCTTTGAAAGGGAAACGACTTGGTCATTTGTTGTCGTGGGTCTTCCTTGCTTATCATTCTGGCCAGGCACTTTGTGTTCTCCCCTCCATTGTGCCATCTTGGTCTTGTTTATTCTCCCTCCAGTAAATGGAGTGATTGGTTGCCAGTTGCTTCTGGAAGTGCCAAACATTAACATAATGTTATGCCATCTTGTGTCTGAGTTGCAGTTGCATTTGGTGGCTTGACATAGCTACAGGTAAACAGTGTTCTGAAATACTTTTCTATTCTTTACATAGGCTGATCAGCTGACCGAAGAACAGATTGCTGGTAAGTATCCTAATTGGAGGGAGATGGTTTCTGTTGGCCTAGCAACCTATTCTGAATACAAAAATATTGCAGAACGTTCTTAGTGGCTGCCATCACCTGGCTGTTCCTCAAGTTTTTGCCTTCCTATTAGAGCAGACTGAATTGGTTCTATGGAAAAGAAAATATGGTTTTGAATTGCTTCCTATTTTGTAGTTAATTTCTTAAATGTGTGTGTGCGTTTAAATAATTTGCTGCCATAGGAACTGAAACATTGGCTTACATTGGTTCCTCTCTGTGTATGTGTTATACAGTTATCTATGTTGAAACAAAGGGGAAGTATGAAAGGATGCATTTGTTTTCCCCCCTCTGTGTACTCTAAAAGACACCAGCCAAGATCGCTTACTTGAACTAGGCACTTACTTTGGATTGTCCTTCCTTAGACATAGTCAGACTTTCTGTTAAATAAATATGTGTGAAGTGCCCAGAACATCCCAAAAAGCAAGGGCTGATAGCTACTGGACTGATTTCTGTTTCTCCATCAGACAGAAAGTATTTGTGATTTAACTGGTTATCAAATGAAAGAACAGAACGAATTTGAAAGTTCTCATAGCATATGACACAAGCAACAAAATTATTCCATGAGGATCATTTGGCGAGTGAAATCCAGGAGGGGGTTGCTTCCTCAAACCTTGTGCCTCTAATTGTTCCCCAGTGCCTGGGTAAGCCCACAATAATAGCTGAGTTCAACTATCCAACAAACTGCAACAAAGTACAGACAGGGTTCTGACTCCTGTCCTCTGAAGATGCCGGCCACAGAGACAGGCGAAACTTTAGGAAGAACAACCTTCAGAACACGGCCAAACAGCCTGAAAACCCCACAACAACCATCGGATCCTGGCCGTGAAAGCCTTTGAGAATACATTCAGCAACAATTCTTTGCAGGAATCCTGGCAACCAGAAGCAAAACATAAGAGTTGTGCTGGATGAGACCAAAGGCCTATCTAGTCCAGCATTCTGTTTCTCATGATGGCCAGAAGCAAGAAGTGAAAGCCATAAGCTCCGTCTCGCTGTGGCTTCAGAATCGTGGGAATTGGATTCATGGTGACTTTGATCCTGGAGGTTGCCTATAGTTCTTGTGACTGTTAACAACCAGTAGCCTTATCCTTCATTGATTTGTCTAATCACCTCTGAAATATGTCTAGAATTGGTGGTTTTTGAAGAAATGATTGTGTTAGTTTGTGCAGGCCTATCAGACCAAAACAAATAAACAAACAAAAAACAAAAACAAAAAACAAAGCAAAAACCAAATAAAAACCAAAGGACTAAAATGCTATACGGTAATGTGAACTTTTGTTTGATTAAGTCAACGAAAAGTCTGAGGAAATGGACTTTATCCACAAAGCTCAGATTAAAATATAACAGTCTTTAAGGTGCCACAATGTTTTTGGGTCTTGGTTTTTGTTTATTAGGGTTTTTGTTTGATAGAATTAATGTCTTTCACTCCAGCTTGTGGTAGTAAATTTCATTTGTCTGTGTGAAGAAACACTTCCTGTGGATTTTTGTTGTAATTGTTTTTTTTGTCTGAATCTTCTGCCATCAGTCTTACTGCATAACCCTGGTATTGTCTAGCATTATCTGGTATTACCTGAGGAGTGGGGGGGAAACCCTGTTTCTCACACCATATATAATAATTGTACATACTTCTGTCATATTCCTGTGCTGGCTTTCCCCCCCAAAATCAACCGTTTCAACTTCGTAACCTTTCCTCATAGAGGTAAACTGGCTAGCCTTCCACCAGCGGGCCTGCTGTTTGCCTTCTTTCTTGTCATGGGCTAGATTACAGAATTCATGGAGGCAAAACCCAAGCATTCTCGGTTTTGCTTGTTTGTTGTGGTCTTTAACATATAATTAACAGCATCTCAGACTTGGTAAGCTTAGCACTAAGTAATTAATGAAGCATTAGAGCTAAGGGTCGTGAGGTGTTCATCTAGAAATGTGCAGCTTCCTTTATGAGTTCAATAAATGTCTTTGAGAAAGCCACTCCCAATCTCTCTCCATCTCAGTTTCTACCTGGAGACAATGACCTACTTTTAAAGGCAATTGTCCTGATGGAAATTTTGTATTGGGTACCTTGAAACCTCTCTCAAAATACTGCCCAAATAGTAAAATAAAATTTTAGGAAAGCGTCTTACCGAAACCACATTTACAGTGTCTGACAGCAAATAGTTGTAACATCAGCCTACAATCATGCTGGTCCTCATTGAACAATGACAAAGAATGGTATTGTAACTGGAAAACTTTGTTTAATTTGTAGCTTTTGTTTAATCAGACTTTTACCACATTGAATGGTTTTCCTTGTAATTCTTGCTTTGGTCGTTCTACCCTGAAGGGTCCTGGGTTCTCCATCTCTTAACTTAGCACACTTCATAGGAGTAGGGAAGTTGGATGTAGCAAACGCTACTCTCTACTGCTGGAAGATACTACTGACTGCTAAAAAGGAAGTAGTAGTTTTTGATGTCTGGCAGTTTGTAACAACCAGAAGTTTGCATTATTGTTTTGTGATAGGTATGAGCTGGAAGAAAAGCAAGATTTTGATCTGGGAGATTTTAATCTACTTTGAAGACTGTATGGAAGTTACTAATTGTTGCAGGAAAGAATTCAAGGGCTTAGACCAGAGGGGAGGAAGTGTGGACTTTCCAGATAGTTTGGCCAACAGCTCCCACAACCCTCAGTCAGTATAACCAATAGTGTATGGGAGCTAGAATCTATAAAATAGCTGGAGAACCAAAGGTTCTTCATCCCGTGTTTAGATCCACAGTGAAATTTTGCTTTTCTCTCCAATCACTTATAACATCATAAATGGCCTTCTTGTTTGTATCTTCTTACTGCTGTTCTCTCAGCTGTGCAGGGAGACAGGGTATTCTCTTCATTATATCCCAGTGAAGTAATTCAGGATGTGGGGAGTCAGCTTTACAGCTACTGGGGATTCACAGATAATCTCTGTGGTACATGTTGTGGTCCATTGTATCCCCTACATATTGGTTGTCATTTTGGATCCTCTTCCCCAACAATAAATGCCATGCATAGAACAAATTAATTGATACTGATGTGCAGATAGCACTCCTATGTATACAGCTGTATGCATCTGTGTCAGGTTGGCATCTCATTTATATATATAAACAATTTGACAGGTAGAAGATGGCCTCAATTTGCTATCTGTGGGATCAGAACTAAATAATTTCTAGTTAATGCTGCATTTGATGCTGGTCACAATGACAAATGGTGATAAGTCCGCTTTCCCTCCCTCTTGTCTGTAGAGTTCAAGGAAGCCTTCTCTCTATTTGACAAAGATGGTGATGGCACCATCACAACAAAAGAACTTGGCACTGTGATGAGGTCGTTGGGTCAAAACCCAACAGAAGCAGAACTACAAGACATGATCAATGAAGTAGATGCTGATGGTAAGTGTTTGAAGAGGTGAATGACTTACCATTCTTGTACCTACACTTAAATTAATTCTGGTGGAAGTTTAAGTCACAGAAATCCTATTAGACACTGACTCTGCTTAGTCCAACTTTGCTTTATGTTCCTTAACCAAGTGATCCTAACAGTAAGAGTAGTGGCTGTTCCTGTGTAATAATAGGAGCGTACTTTATAAAAAGCAGATTTGCTGCCATTTGCAGTCCAAGCAATTTTCTAATATTTACCTGATAATTCTCTAAATCGGCCAAAGGATGTTACTTTAGTTGTAGCTTTCATGTCTTGAATTCAAGGATTACTCCCTTCATCTACCCACAAGTTGTCAACAGGTATCCCCAGTCTAGCTTGGGATCCAAGGATGGTGATTAGTTATCCTTTCATGCTTTATTGCCTTCTGCAGCACCAATCAATAATTTGCGTTGCCAAGTTGAGGTCAGTTGAAACCAATGAATTTGTCTGATTCTTCTTTTTTGCAACATAGATTGCAGGTATGAGGGGCCTTTGATTTGAATCAAGATCACAGCAGGCAGGACATGGCATTAAAGTCTCCCAAGAGAGATTTTAATTCAGGGAAGGGAAATAAACCCTGCATTCTGTACAGGGACAATGCAGTTAAGAGAATGTATAGTTTGGTCCTACATGTTCTAAAAATAAATATGGGAAAGGCAGAAAAATTCATACATGAGTAAGTGAAGCAGAGAAGTGAAGCAAAGAACAGGTACAAGAGCATTTTTGGACATTCTCTAATGTGAAATAAATGGAGACTATAAAAGATCTTGGTGAAAAGGCTCCCATATGGTAAGAGAACAACTTTGCAATCTGGACATTCAGAAGAAGTGTGTGCCCTGGAAAGATCGCTGAGTTGTCATTAGGGATGCCAGTCTTTATGCTCCACTGTTGCATTGATTGGTTGAAAAGGATTGTAGCTTTATAGTGCCGTTGGACATCTGATACTGGATTCATAGCCATCATCAGTGTTTTAATGGTTAGGACTTGGTTAACATTTATGCCCAGTGTGATTTTTTAAAAAAAATAATAATGTAGAAGAGTGTTTAAGAAAGGATTCTGGGCCCATGCACTAAAGGTCATGGAATTTTTAGAAATCCTGTTTTTCTGTGGGCCTGCTCCTCATATTGCTGTACTGGCATCCAGTTAAAAGCAAGGAACATGTTGAATCATATATTTATTGAAATATTACAGTGTTGCCCCTTTTTGTTCACTTGCCCTTAAATTTCCAGCCATTCACACAGCAGGAACTACTGACCTCTATCCAGGAATTAGCAACAGAATTGTTGCCCACCAAGACTCCCTTTGAAAGCTGATCTGGTGCCTGGAAGAATATCATAGGATGGCTGCTAGTTTAAGCAGAATACTGACTCTGGAGAGACAACAGGGTGTGTGCAAAGTCCCATTATTTCCAGCATTTACTTAAAGGGGCAGGGAGATAAAAGAAGCAAAGTCCCATTATTTCCAGCATTTACTTAAAGGGGCAGGGAAATAAAAGAAGCTTTGACAGCCATAGGCTGCCCATCACTAGAACATGGGCCAGTCCATGTGCCACTCCTGTGGGTGTCCTAATAGGGAAAGTTTTGGAAAATTAAGGTTTCAACTAAGAAATTAAACCTCATTGTAACTGGTAAGGTGAAGGAGTGTCCCTAGTGGGGAAAAGGTGGCAACTTTACATATCATTGGACGTAATGATGATTACCTTATTGGTAATAAAGAATTGTCCTTTTCCTGAGTTAGATGAATCTAAACTTTGTTGGAATGCTTCTGCTTTTAAAACCTTAGGATATACTTTGTCCTGCTTAAATGTCTGTTCTGATGAACCCTACTCTTCTGGGTGGTCCAGATTAAAAACTGGTCTGTTGGCTAATGCTGTAAGGTTCAAAGCTTTCACAGCAACTCTTTGAGTGCAACCTGTGCTCCAGTGTCACCTAATGAGCTGCTGATTTTTACCAGTATGATTATGCATTACTGGAGTGCAGGAGATGTAGTAGTTTAAGGGAAGGTTGCTGCTGAAGGATGATGTTCTGCATGAGATCTTTTATTGTGAAAGTTAGAGTGGTCTCATTGAGATTTCCTATTACATCAAAACCAGAATCAAGCTGCTAGAAGGAAAATGAAGAGTTTGGGAATACCTGGTTCCTAGATGAATTGTGTTAATTGTAAAAGCAAGCTATGTTATACACAGAAAGGGTGCATGTAGGTGTACAAATTCGGATATAATTCCTTCTCTGTCCTTTTTTCAAAGGCAATGGCACTATTGATTTCCCAGAATTCTTGACCATGATGGCCAGAAAAATGAAGGATACAGACAGTGAAGAAGAAATTCGTGAGGCCTTCAGAGTCTTTGACAAGGTGTGGTTTAAATGTATACCTGGATGCTTGAACTGTCTATGTACACCTAATAAGGTCCTGTGGTTTTAATCGCTAAAAATTCTGATCAGATCTCTGCCTAGTCCCTCTCTTAGCCTAATCTACTTGAAGAACAAAAATGAGAAGTGAAAATTATGAAGTGTACTGCACACTGTCAAGTCGTGCTTCAGGGGAGGGGCAAAGCATGATCTTCCAATTTTTTTCTGGATGGCTACTCCCAGCATTCCTCATCATTAGTTGTTCTGACTTGGAATGATGGGAATTGTAGTCCCACAACAACTGGATAGCCCAATGTTGCCCACTCCTGTCCTGTAGCAACTGTTGACAAAAAAAACTGCAGGAGAAATTGTATGAGGACTTCTCTAAAGAAAAATTTCTAGACAGACATCTAAAAAGCAATGTGAGAAATACAGCCAAACTTTTCTTTCTTTCTTTCTTGCTTGCTTGCTTGCTTGCTTGCTTTCTTGCTTGCTTTCATATAAGTTAAATAAATATAAGTTAAATAAATAAATATACTTATATCCTGCCTTATCTCAAGGCAGCAAACACAACTTTCTTGCTCTGTATTTTATCTCCTCCCTATTTTGTCTTCACAATAACCTTGTGAGGTACAGACTAAGTGGTTGACTGGTCTACTGAGGTTTTTTTTAGATCACAAGGGATATTGGCCAGTCCAAGTCCATTACTCTTTAATTCAAGATTTGGGATTTCCTTGAGTTGGTAACACATTCCTTGAGTTGGTATACCACATTAGGTCTCAATAGTCAGGATTATCCAAGATTTGATTATGATTTTCTGGTTTGCTCTGTCTCATGTGATTGAAATTGATCTGGCTATGCCAGAATACTGCATACTACAAGGGTAAAAATAATCGCAGAAATTTTATCCCATTATGCGTGAAAGATTGTGTGACAATGACACTATAAAAATGCAAAGACTGTTTTGATTTTCACCATTTGCCCAACAGGGCTTCTAAGATATTTTTCAGAAACCACTTTTCATCTTTCATGCCATTCCAACTTTAGGAATTCAGACAGAGAAGTGAAAAGGGATTAGTGATGCTACGTAGTTGGGCACACTGAAGCTCACTGAACATGTAACTGAATGTTTTCTTGATTCTGACCTTAATCCTGAGAGCAGGTTTTCTTGCAATATCCTTTACACTTTGCATCTCTTAATTGAGAGAAAAGTGGCATAGAAAAAGAAATAATAATAATGGTTCTATACATCTTGTCCATTGCAGAAAGGAGGGTTTCCCCTACCCTACCTACTCATTTAAGAAGCAAAACATGCATACTGTCAGCTTCCCCACCAACACCACCAAATTTAAGTAATTGTGCAAAGTTTTTATTGACATTTCATATAAGTGACTGCATAATGGAGAAAGACCTCAGGTTTGGAGACCATGGGAGAAGAACGCTGATGCTAAAATTACATGCTAAATGAAATTTTCATCAACGTAATGGAAGGAAGTAGTTTGAAGACACCTGTCTGGGTCAGTTCTTCATCATGTTCTTTAGAAACATTCATCCTGTTTCTAAAGGCAGTGTACTTTTCAAAGACAGGATTGCATTATTCTGAAGGTTAACTATGCAGTACAGTACAGTAGTACTTCGGTTTACGAACGCCTCAGTTAACGTAATTTTCAGTTTGCAAACGGAAATCAATCGAAAATAATGCTTCAGTTAATGTAATTTTCAGTTTACGAACCGAAATCAATTGAAAATAATGCTTTGGTTTGAATTTTTTTTTTTCGCAGTATGAAGCAAGTTTCCCCAGGATGCATTGTGCCTGGAGTTTTGTAGCCTTGCCCCCATTCCTGTGGCAAACCACATTTCGATTTACGATTTTTTTTGCATTATGTGCAAACCACATTTCGATTTACGATTTTTTTGCATTATGTAACGTCCTAGAGAGCATTAAATTCGTAAACCGAGGTACGCCTGTACTAGGAGATCTAGTCTCATACTTGCATAATTGGGAGCAAAGTTCAAGTGAAATGGATAGAAATCACTTATTGGTTGTTCTGATAAGAGACTACTTCAAATGATTATCTGAAAGTCGAGAAAGTTGCCTTAGACTGGTATATCCAATATTGTTTACAGGTTTCCAGGGTCTTAGCCAGAAGGTCTTTTCCCAGCACCTGTTACCATTGTTTTAGCTAGCAATGGCAAGGACAGAAACTGAAAGCTTTTGTTACACAAATCATGTGTTTAACCATTGAACTGTGGGACCTCCTCAAATTCAAACCAGCTTTAGCAGGGACCTAATCTCAGTAGTTCTTGAAAATATGGCCACCATTCTTGCAGCTTCTTCCATTATTTAGTCTTGTTGACTAAGACATTAGTTGTGTGCTTAATTCCCCATAACAGGGTGGAGAACTTTTAGGCTTCAGATTTTTGGACTACAGCTCCCACACTTTCTTATCATGGGCTATGCTGGCTGAGGCTGACGGGAATTGAAGTCCAGAAACTTTTGGCATTCTGGCATTGAGCAGGGAGTTGAATTCAGTGGCCTAAAAGGCCCCTTCCAGCTCAATTACTCTATGATTCTAAGATTCCCACCCCTACTGTATAGGAAAAAGGGTTGGGTTGAGAAGTTCAGAGTTCATTCAAACCATTTCCTTCAGGAGCTGGCAATTTTTGCTGAAATTTTAAAAAATTAACTAATCTCAGTGTTTTTATCACTTGCCTATTTTCTCTAGGATGGCAATGGTTACATCAGTGCAGCAGAACTACGTCATGTTATGACAAACTTAGGAGAAAAGCTAACAGATGAAGAAGTAGACGAAATGATCAGAGAAGCAGACATTGATGGAGATGGACAGGTCAACTATGAAGGTAAGGGGTGGTTTCCTGTATCCATTCATAGGATTTTGAAGGGATTAAGCCCTGAAGCTGTGGCATTAGAAACTGGTTTGTGCATTCTTTTTGATTGTTCCAGAACATCTGTATTTGGTGACTTCTGCTTCAGAAGCTGTTTGTTTATATCACCTCCTTTCTAAAGAGGTTAAATGTGGTGGTATTTTCTTTGTTTCTGTCTTTCAGAATTCGTACAGATGATGACTGCAAAATGAAGAGACCTCCTTCCACCTTTTTTTTCCTCTAGAAGAATCAAATTGAATCTTTTACTTACCTCTTGCAAAAAAATGTTCATTTATTCATTCTGTTTCTGTATAGCAAAACTGAATGTCGAAATACCTTCTGTCCACAAACTGCATGTAATGGTTGGTGGTCCTGTTCCCAAAAGATCAAGTTAAACATCAGTTTTTTCCAATATAAATAATTGTACTACCTTTTAAAAATAAGAAAGCACTTAGTGAACTCCTCAAAAAGTTCCATTTGCTAATGACTATTACACTGTTTGGGCTGGCCAGTTTTTCATGCATGCAGCTTGACAATTGAGCACAGTCAGACATTTGTATTAAAACAGTTCAAAAAAAGAGAGGGAAAAACTATATATATATAAATATATTTTAAAAAAAGACCCAACCAACAATCCCAATCCACACTTTTCTCCCAAAGTGGATTCTGGTTCAATTTGTAACAATAAAATTGTCGTACCTGGTTTACTTTCAAATTGGTCTATACCTCAGGTGTGCAGCAAAAATGGTTGAGGGATGAAAAATGGTTAGAGGCAGGAAAAAAAATGCCTGGAAGGTGCAAAAGGGTCTATTTTATGTAGTAGCAGTGCCCCTGTCCCCTGAACATGACTTGAGGCCATGAATGGCACGTCTGCGTTATATTGGTTTTAATATTGTTTGCATTGCACTACTTGTGAAACGGGTGTTGGGTTGTTACCATTCACACCTTGTTTTGAAAAGAACCTTTCAACAGGGGGCAGGAACATCTTTGGACATGTGCTCCCTTCTCTCCCCCCCCCCCCCCCCGGCTCTCTTGCATTTTTAAACCCTTGTGTACCGAGACTTGGAGCTGCCGGAGTAGCCTGTGGACTTCAGCACAACTATCAACATCGCTGTTCAGAATACTACAGTTATGTCCATTCCAAGTTGTAAATGCTAGTCTTTTTTCCAATAAAAGACCATTAACGTAAAGGCAGTGTTACATGCTTTGTAAAAGCCGAATATGTAGAGATTTCTATACAATTTGAGAGACTAAACCAAATGCATAAATAAATGAAGGAAGGAAGGCAGTAGGGAGGGGGACTCTGTTCTGTAAATGACCTGCTGCTAAATTTTAATGCACATGTATGCAATAACTTAACCCGTTTAACGTTTCTTCAAGTTGGCAAGAACTGACCTCTTGTAACCCAAGGCCTTTGCTATAAATAAATGAACTTGTGCTTGCCTTTCATATTTATCATAATCTTAATTTACTTGCTCACAAACTGACTTGATTCCAGTTCATCTGGAATCTACAGGGAAGTGGCATGATTTCTTCTCATATACTCTTGTGTTAGCTGTACTTCTGGAATTGGCGTTATAAGGAAAGGAAAACTTTGAATTAAAAAAATTATTTTACAGATCCCATCTTGCACGGAGATGCAATTTTCAGGCATGATTAAAAATAGGGGTGGAATGGGGCATGTGCAGGTTTCAAGATGGATGTGCAAAATTAGAATTCTATAAGTAAGTACAGTCGGAGAGGCTTTAACTTCTTAGGTATAGCCTTTTTTAGACAGAGAAAAATCCTTTGTTCCGCATTAGAATAACTTGATGCCAATGACTATATCAAAATTTCCAAAAGGACAAATTTCAAAGACTTGCTCATTACTAAATGAGATTTTGTTTCTTCCTAATAAATGACCTAATGTAGAATTCAGATTTTTTTTCCTCCCACAGCTACTGTTATTTTTGCTGCAGACTCTGTGAGTTTTTGCTGATTTTTATCTATTTTCTGATTTTACATATAATTCTGAAGCTCAGGGGTAGGAAGCCCTGAGCATTGCACCTCACACTAAACTGCTCCTACATTTTACTGTATTTTTCACAGAACTAAAACATATGCATGTTAATTTCAATCATGGAAAAAGTTCAGACAATCGTAGGTACCCAGTGCAAAGTGCTGAACTTTTTGTGTTTAGTTTTGTGTATTTTACAGACTGTGAATGATATCTTTAGAGGCTCTGAGAGAAGGAAAAATCACCCAAGCTACTCATATATTAAAAAATAGATAACATAGGAGTAGCTAGTACAGATGAAATTATAGAACATTGTAGGAAAACAATCTAAAGGAATTGGGATTTGAGACCAGAAAGCCCTTACCTTTTTGCATTAAGAAGTGCAATGGCTATTTAATAGTATCTAAAGTTCAGCTGAAAGCCACGTGATGCACTTGTGTATCGTTCTTGGAGCTAGACAGAATCCTGGATGCTTCCTTACCCATTCCTTTAAAAGTGAGAGGAGACAAGGGTTTAAAGACCTAACTTGTTCTCAGTGCATTGGCTGTGGCAATTCCTGATAAACTGTAGCCAGTGGTGAGGGAAGGGGCACAGTTGCCAAGCCTTGATCTTGATCAGTGGTTCCCAATCTTGTGTAATCTAGATGATGTTGGACTGCAGAAATCCTGGCCAGTGGTGGTGAAGGCTTCTGGGAATTGCAATCCAAGATTAACTGGATTGCCCAAGGTTGGGAAGCACTGATCTAGATTAAAAGGGATAAATTAGTGTTCTAGAAGTCTGGCCGAAATCTCATTATTTTGTTACACATGCAAAAGGCAAACTGTAACATTTTTGCAATTCATGAATCACAGCTGGGGTTTTTTGGCAGGGCACGTGCATCTGATGTCTTGGTGTGTGCTCAAAAATCACATTGGAGACTCGTTGGCTGCCGGCTAAGATCCATGGCATGTTACTTCATTTGCCTTCTGCATGTGTAACAAAGCAACACGATTCTAGCCAACATTTGCAAAACACTGTTTTGATTGTGTTTGGATTTACAACACTCCTTAAGTGGGCTGGCACTGCTTTCCCAAGGGAGGAAGATGCCCAAGGTTATTCTGTGATGTTGAACTTGGGACCAGGCACCTATCTAGCTTTGCAATCATGTCTATTGCATTTATTCGTTTTAGAACATTTCAGTCCTGCCTATTTTGTAACAAGGTCTAGATGGCTAGCAGCAGAAATAAATATTTAACAATGAAGTAAACAATACTCTAGAATGGTGTTGGTCAAAGATCAGCTGTGCACCCACATGGGCCCCCCTGGTTTGTCTTTGTGGCCTGTAGCCCCACCAACCTGCTAAAGCTGCAGTATTTGACACTCTGCAATATTTAACAGCCAAAATATTCTTGAAAAACAGAAGTGGCCCCCAAGAGATGATGGTGACAGAAAATTAACTCCTGTGCCCACTGAAGTTCCTCTAGTTGTATTCTAATCTAAAGCAAACAGCACAAAAGAGCAGTAAAATGTCACAGAGCTTTAAAAGCCACAAGTTATGGATAACAGTAAAATTATGTGCTGAATTTCTTCCTTTAAAAACTGGAAGGACTTTCATGTGCATGATACTGCTTCACTTGTTAGGAAATTGTGACCAAGATTACAAGTGCAGATATGGTTCTTGCACATTTAACTGCAGTAATTGCCAGTTCATCTCAAGCCAGTACAAAACAATTCTGTAAGCCACTCAGATTTTCCCAAGCAGGTAAGAGTGAAACAGCAACCTGCAGAGCAGATTCTTGGATGCAACACAGTATTTCTGCATGGCTGTATTTTCTCCAAAGAGATGTTTCCACATTACCAGTGATGCAGAGAGAATTAAACAGCAAATTTCTCCACTCAACAGAGAAGGAAAGCATTGAGAACATTCCATTCCAGTAGAAATAGAAGAATAACAAGTTTGGAGTGGTAGGGGAGATAACTATAGCCCCTTTTCATAACTGAAGTTGCTCCTTGGTGAGGTGCTGGGTGGAATAACTGTGACCTGAACAACTACCACTATGCATGAAAACTCAGCTGCACTGTTCAAATAAATAGTATGCTGCTTTTGATATTAAGGACAGCTCTGTGGGAAAAGGAACAAAGCAAAAACTGTGATGCAGAACTGGAGTAGCTCCGCATAGTCACCTTTATTATATTCTCTCCAAAGAGTCCATGTGATGGTTCTGAGGTGGAGACTGATCCATTCACCTTAAGGAGCTACTCTGTTTAGCTTGTACAGTCGTTTTTTTAAAAATTTCATTTGGAAGAGTTTCAAATCATGCTGGAAATACTCATGTAGGCATCCTTCAGTCTCGAGAGACTATGGTATCGTGCTCTGTATGGAGGTCTTGGAACAGAGTCTTGTGTGGCTGAGAAGGCCAATTCGAGAGTGACAATCTCTTCCACACTGGAGACAAATCCAATCTGTCCCCTGTCCAGCTCCCTGGTTTTGCTTGTTTTGGGGCTGCCTCTTTGCCTCAGTCTGCTGTACAAGTGTCTCTTCAAATTGGGAGAGGCCATGATGCACCGCCTGGAAATACTAACAAAGTGGCACTTGATTGCTATCACATGCAGAATGTTTAATATGTCTGGTGATGATATATTTTCGGCTCCAGAGAACCATGAACTAATAGAG